GGGGTGACATGAGGATGTGGATGCAGTCTAACCGTTCAGATCTCAGGCTGCAGATTTCACAGTGAATATCAGAACTTGTGGCATTTGTTTGTTTGAGCTTCTTGTCCCGGCAGCGTCTGAACTCAAATGTCCCGATCGGTGGATTTGTTTGTGTAAATTCATGTTTCGATGATGAGAATTTGAAGCGTTGAACAACAGTGATCCCTCCGGACGCTGCTGAGCTTTCAGGGAGCGGTTCGTTAAACTGCAGACAATCATGAGACAGAGCTCGACGACCCAAATCCATCTTTCCCGTCCGTGGTGGACCATCGAGATGATAACGGACAGTTCGGTCAGACAACTCACGTCCAAATGTTTATTGCAGCAGTAGAACATAGTTTGTGTTTGGAGTCTAGGCTCCGACTGAATCCCCCGATATGATTACACAGATGTGATGAGAGTGACGAGCAAAGGGGTTGATGGGAAATGTCTCTCTGCTTAAATAGGCCGCCTAATAAGGTGGGTGTGTATTATCGATGCTTGCGGAGAATGAGGTGTGTCACATGATGTGTGTCACATGATTGGAGCAGCGCAGCTCGAGTTGGCTGCCTGAATTAGCTTCGCAGGGTTTCGCTCCATTTGGTGCTTTTTTTTGAGCCTCAGGATATTTTAGGATTAATAATAGTAATCACATTTTTCCTTCATGAGCCACGTTGCACTTAAAACATAAAAAATGTCATATTCTACGTACACAACGTTTAAACCGCTGTCGTTCCTGTTTCCGCAGATATTCCGCCTCGTGTTATATGAGGGCGTAATGGTCCTTTAGAAAACTTACAGGATAAAAGATGGAAACACAAACATCCACGAAAAGTCCTGTTGGGATCAGGGGGTGAATTTCTGCTTCCAGTCTCTGGTGTGAACGAGCCTGAACGCTCGGTCAGTCTGATTCCACTGTTGTAACTGTTGCTTGTTTTCCACTGACATCAATTCAGGAAAACAATCCTGTGCCAAAACAAACCAGAGAACAATGTGCGGCCGGGTGGCACTGAAGCAGGAGTGATTGTTTATCCCCTCAGCCAACATATCATGTGACATGAAGTCCGGCTTGAATGCTTTTCGCTGTTTGACTCCAGTGACTTTGTTTATCGTCTTTATTTGCTGTCTGTCTCTACACGCCCACAGGACTTATTTATTTAAGCGATTTTTAAGATGCTCTGAAATCCTGCAGATGAGAAAGAAGTGAGTGATGTCAGAGGAGGTGGTTCAGGGAAACTCAGGTGTGGTTTCTTGGTTTTTCACCCTGGTTTGTAAAAAAACTGTCTTAACTGAACCAGTGACAGAGCAACACATTGAGCCACGGTGTTGAATCATAGGCGACTCTTTGTAAATTGGCTTTTAAAAAACGTTTGAGTTATTAAAAGTATTAAAAAGCTTTGTTTGAACGGTCTGTGCTCTGTGAATACAGATGTTTAAAACAGCTTCCTCCCTTTTTATCGGCTCAGTACAAAAGCACATCACACACGGAAGTTTTTAATGTTTTAATATTGTGTTTTTGTTCATGTCAAGTTGTTCTGCACTGGAGAGTCTCACTGTTTGTATCAACACGTCTATTAAAAAGAAAAAAAGATTTTCTATTTAAGCAACAACTTGTACTATTTCTTTTTCTCATGTTCACAGGCGTTACTCTAAAAAATATATATGATCTCAATAACAAAGCTTTGACATTAAAACAGCCAAGTTGAATACAAACAGCTTTTTATATATTGAAAAATAAAAGTTTTACAGTGATTCATCATGAATATGTTCGATAATCATTTCTATATGTTTGACATTATTAACTATGATTAATTGTTTTGTAATTTCACAGGTTAATGTTACAACTAGAGTCAATTAAACATTTCACATGAGTAAAAATTTGTTTTTAAAAAAGAAATATTCCACCAGAGCTTCTCATCACTGATGTAGAAACAAACACTGAGCGACATGAATTGAAAATTCAAACTTGTAAAAAATAAAACCCAATACAGCGCAAATTAAAGTCAGATCAGTTGAAAGAAGCCGGCCGCCAAATTACAATATAGAAAAATGTAAACATTCATTTGAATATAAACCATTTCAATCAGTTAAAGAAGTCAAACACTTAAAAAGCTCAGTTAAAGTTCTAAATGAGTTAACGTGTTTTTTAATAAAGCTGCAGAACTCAATCTTTGATTAAATGATCAACTACTGCGAAAATGTTTTGCACCTTTTTGCTACTTTTAATAAAACTTGGACAAGATTTTCTCGTTGCTGTTGACAACGCAACGAGCTACAGGGCACTGCTGAGTCACTGTTACCATGGCGATGCATCTTGGGCCAACATTAAAGCTGTGCTGGGATCAGATGCAACTGCAGGTGATGGTTGTATCGGTTTCATCCACCTCGTCCCCGTACAGCGTGATGAGCCGTGGGTGGACCCTGAACGCACCACGTGCACACACACACACACACACACACACACACACACACACAGATTTGTTTAAAGATGTAGTGCGGTGATTTGCTAGAGGCAGATTTTTAAAAAGAAGTAACTTTAAGCAGCAGAGGACGAGATATCTGAACTTTTGTGTCAACCAGGTGAGAACCACCTCATCTTGATTTCACAGAACCTAACGGCTTTGTTTACGACTCCAGTCTCGTGGTTGAGTGAGGAATCTGAATTCTTCATGGATACAGATTCTATATTCTATATATGGAATCTAAATTCTTCATACAGTCTTCATACCTGATGAGCACTTCGTTAGCGATCTCCACCAGCTCTCCATCAATATTCCAGGGGAAGGCGGCTCCCTCTGATTGGATGATGGGCGTTGTTTTGGAGTCGCCCTCCTCCTCGCTTTCCTCCTCCGACCAGCCAACGAGTGAGCGGGGGCGGACTCTCACCGCTGACACGTCGTGCGTCTCCACGAAGGAGAAGCTGAACTGTAGAGGGACAATCAGACAGTGAGACAGACAAACTGAGCAGGACAGAAAGACAGTGTGTGTGTGTGTGTGTGTGTGTGTGTGTGTGTGTGTGTGTGTGTGTGTCAAAGTTCAGCAGAGGTCAGGAAGGCTCGTTAGGATCTTTGTAAAGCATCTTAATAATCTGCAGCAGTTCCTTCCTGTTTACGGCCCTGAAGTCTTCACTGTAGCACCATTAAGCTCCAACGGGGGGCAGCACAGGCCAAAACAGAGACAGACTGTCCCCCTGTCTGTCTCATCTGTCTGTCTCATCTGTCTGTCTGATTTCTGTCCTCAGGTTTTTCTTTCTTAAAATGAAGCTTTACACTGAAGTCCAGTGTTGGACTAAACAAATTCACACAACAGTTCAACGCCCATGTAGAATTGTTACTTGTGTATTTATATATATTTTTCTCTATATATTTCATGGTACTGCTCCTGTAACCTAGTTACCTTGACTTGTGTTTACATTATATAGTTGCTTGTTTTTTATATCTGTCTCTTTCCTTTGTGAATCTTTATAACAGGCAGATTTTGATTTGAGGAAGACACTTTCATCATTTCCGTTGATAAACAGTTGGTGGTTTAAGTACTTTTACTTAAGTAAAGTAAATACTTGCTCCACCACAGTCACAGTAACACTCAGGTGTGTGTTGGATCCCCGCAGCTCAGCATGGAAACACAAACACAAAGTTGTGGATGACTTTGGGATAAATATCAATTAATTAATATTTAAATATCAATTATAATGTGTATGAGTGGATGTTTCTGACTCTTTCGTCAACTGACTGGATCAACGTCCACAGTGGGACTCAAGCTCAAGGGGTCGTCATGGTTACACTGCTCCACCAGGATGCCCCGTCTTGTCACGTCTGATGCTGAGCTGTCCGCCGAATGGAGGTCAGTGAGTAAACAGCCTGTTTACTCTGCAGGACGGTGAACGCATCACTTCAGTTAAATTTAGTAAGTGGGTTAGTGTGCGGTCTCACAGGCCGAACCAGGCCACGCCGAATCAGGCTAATCTCCTCATTAACCAGTTTGTTGGTTGGTTTATTTTTTCCGCCTGAGGGTGACGAGGTCACGAGTCTGAAGTGGTGGAGGAAGTTTTGAGGATTTTATGAAGTAAAAGTGAAATCATTCGTAGTAGTTTGCAACAGTTGGCCGCAGAAATATTTATAAACCTTTAAACTAATTCTTCATATGATGGTTCACTGTTAAATCTAAAATCTGATGCAAAACACCTGATGTAAAAAGTTATATTCTAATAAATTTAGAGAAGGACTTCAGACAAGAGTTTCACTTTGTCCTGAAGGGACAGCTCGTCTCACCTGTCCACTGGAGCTGCTGTATCTCTTCAGGTGTTTGACGAACTCTGACCTGGAAGTGTTTCCCACTGCGATCAGCGATGCGCTGCCATTGGCCAAACTGCAGCAGACAGTGAGAGAAGAAGAGCGCTGATGGAACGACCTGCAGGATGCTGCGCTCGAGGTCGCACACAACATAACGGGACTTTATACAACTGTGAAGTCGTACACCTGCCTACCTGGTGTTAGGAGCCAGTCCTCGAGGAGCATGTGGAGTCAGACAGGGGATGGACATGACGCTGATGTTCAGATACAGGCCCCGGTTGGTCGTCCAGGTCTCCTCTGCATCCTGGTCCAGATCCTGGTCCTCGTCTCTGAGACACAGTTACAAACAGTCAGATGACTGATTCGACTCATATCTGTCTGATGTATATGAAGCTTCAGCCTGGAGACTGGAAACACTTTTTTTCAAGTTAGGCTAGGCTAAGCTAGCTGGTTGCTCTCTATTGCTTCATATATGTGGACATATGTTTTTCTTACCGATGTTTAGACAGACTCCGGGTTGATGTCTTCGCTGGGAGGAACGACAGCTGACAGTCCTCCGGTCTGAGCAACAAAGAAGATCTGTGATGTTAATGTTGACTCTAAAGTCTTTAATGTGAATTCAGGTCAATTTAATCATTTAAAACCAACATAAACTCTCCTCTGAACATAAGGACCTGAGACTAAGAGAAGAAAAAACATTCATAAGTGATTACAACTTAAAAAAAACATTGCGTGTTACTTGAGTCTTGCCAGCGTCTTGATAAGGGCGTACTCTCGTCGCCGCGATGACGGCATCCACCTCTTCTTCTCCGCCCGCGCTAAGCTCCGCCCGCCGAAGCCAAACATGGCGGAGAAACCAAAACACACCAACTGACCGAGAGACGAGAAGCTGCACATGTCCACCTGCTGCTGGTGACCTGGTGAATACAGACGTTTGCAAAGGATCTTAGTGAGGGTGAATATTTATCAGAGACAAATTAGGACCCTTCACACACACACACACACACACACACACACACACACTCACACTCACACTCCTGACCTCTTTCTGTCGACTGTATTTGGAATTCTGCTTCTCATGAATATGAATGAGATTCTCCCCATAAGTCCTTTTGGCCTCCTTACAGACTGTGTGTGTGTGTGTGTGTGTGTTAATATCTAAAAACGTACTTCAGTAGAGGGACCAGTCTCTGAAGCAACAGAATTCAGGACGAATTATTTTTTCACGTGCAAAGTGAAAATGTGTACGAAACATGATGATGATGACAAATTCACCTTCAAAGAATCTTATTATCTAAAGTCTTATAATCCTCAAATCACTCAGAGGTAACATGTTGTAATCTTCACTGTGTGGTGCTGAACAAACCAGACGGTACATCCAGTGAAAGTAGAATAAACAAAGAGTGAAGCAGATACTGTTTGTTATTTTCCTACCGTCTGTGAGCACACACACACACACACACACACACACACACACATGCACACACACACACAGAGCGTGCCATCTGGCCACATACCTGCTGTAACCTACTGAACTGATGTCTCCCCACCTGTCTGTCTGACTACCTCCCTGTCTGTCTCTCTGGACAGAATCTGATTTCCTCACCATATGGCATTTTGTCACTGTGTGTGTGTGTGTGTGTGTGTGTGTTGTGAGGATTAAAGCTGAGACGGTCACTGTGTCACTGAGCTCAAACCTGCAGCTATTCTTAAAGGTGCAACTGTCATTTAATGGCAGCTAATACACGCACAGTTTAATTTATGGGATGAATTCAATCAACAAGCATTATCTGTCACAACATGATAAGAAATATTTTCAACATCGTGTATCAGTTCCTATATTTTCTGTTTTCGTCGGCGCTGCAGTGTGTCGCTCTCGCTGATGTCGGTCTGTAGGTGATGAGAGTGTGTTTCAAACATGGCTGCTGCACTCTGACCTTGCAGTTGAATTCCACCCGTTCTTTGTGAATCTAAGGAGTTCAGTGACCACCATCACTTTTATCCACCTGTACAGTGATCACCGATCTAATACTGAGTATTATAACAGTGGGTGTGTCGTGAACACAGCTGACCTCACCTGGTCTCCGTGGGAACAGCTTCCTGCCAGAGAATTTTACATCTTTTCTATTGTTCAGGAATCAGACTCATTAAATCCACAGAATACCCCCATCTGTCACACACACACACACACACACACACACACACAAACAGCTTCCAGTGTTAATTTGTGTTAATGAACCCCCCCCCCCCCCATCTCACAACAACCTGTCATTCAAACACAACAGCCGTCCCTGCTGCCGGTTGATTGGGGGGCAGGTTTACCTGAGAAGGGGCGGTCTGAGGTGAAAGGGGCGTGGCGACAATGAGTAAACCTGTGATTGGGAGTGAAACTGATCCTGCTGTTAGACATCTGCCCCCCATCCCCCCCCGTCCCCCCGTCCCCTATTGTTTCTCTAGCTGTGTTGGTTCTTTGACCTGTCTGAGGAGCTGTCAGCCAATCACATCGAAGCTCAGCAACAACACTAGCTCCTGATTGGCACCCTGAGAACTGTTTAAAGCTTCATCAGATCTATAACCGATAGAATCCATCCAGTACAGCCCACGACAATAGATCTGTATCAGACAGAACCCATCCAACCCAATACATACATATGTATTGATCTAGAAGTTGTAGTATTCCCAAAGACATGGCTATCGATCTGGAACAGGAGTGATGTGATGAAAGGTCTAGAAAAGGTGAAACCAGCTCAGGAGGATGTGACTTTAGATCTAAAACAGGATGACGCAGGTATATAAAGTATATAGAAAAGGTAGAACCTCCCCCGGAGCCTGAATACCCACAGGTATGCTACTATAGATCTAGAGCATGTGGAACCGACCCAGGGGAATCAGGTGCAGGTAGAACCTACCTATGACGACGGAACTATAAATATCACAACAGTAGATTTAGACCAAATAGAGCCGACCACAGTGAATGGGATGATGAAGCTCGGATCAATGATCCATGGTGTGATCTAGAGCAAGTAGAACCTACCCAGGACGACGTGGAGCGCTGCTGTGACCGGATCTCTAACTCCATGCACAGAACAGGAAACCACATCTGTGGAGCCTGTAAAGATGGACACACAGAAAGTAAATAAAACAATATCGTGTCTGACACATACTGTGGATCTACTGTGTGTGGCTCTATMTCAGGGTGTATCCTCGCTCTCACCTGCAGGAATGATCCCCAGCGGCAGCACTGGTTTCACCGGTTTCTCTGGGGAATCTGCATCCAGCTGAGCCCTGAGGACCAGAGCGTGACAAAGCTCCGCCACCGAGCCGTCACCGCCAACACACACCACCCTGACAGACAGACAGACAGACAGACAGACAGGTGGAGATAGACAGAAATGATTTCCACTATGATTTTATAAAAATATCTAGAACATCAAGAGCAACAGATAAACTTTTTTTAACATTTTAAACTTTGGATTCTGAAATCCAGTGATAGTGACCACTCAGATAGGGGCATGGGGTCATCCCGGGCCCAGGGGCCACATCATCTCACCAGGATCAATTAATATAGAATGTTTCTGTCTTTTAAAATATCATATCAAATTAAATTAATTGAGAATTATACCCAAACAGAGAATGACTTCACATTAAAAGTCCAGTGGATTATTTTAATTCGACACAGACTCACTTGAAATAATCGATAGAGTCTCAATGCTTCGGTCTTAAATCACACCAGTAGAATTAAAAGAAAATATTTTAAATCACTAAAAAGTTTTTAAATAAATAAAAATTCACAGAGTTTGGTTGGAGGGAAGTGTGAGTTGCAGTAGTAATGAGTGGTAGTATTAGTATTAGTATTAGTAGTAGTAGTTGTAGTAGTAATAAACATTAATATCAACAGTAATCTTAAGTAGATGTTTCTGACGTGTCTGACGTTGTTTCCAGTTTCTCTCTGAAAAGCGAGAACGTTCGTCTGCAGAGTTTGAGTTTGCAGTAAATGTGAGGTGAATAGACTCCGCCCCCTCCCCCTCCTCCCATGTGTGGGATTACCTGAAGCTCTGGTCGCCACGGTGACAGCCAGCCTAATTGGCAAATGTAGGTTTCAACCAAATCCTCACCAGAGCAGCCTCATGCACACACGCACACACACACGTACACACACACACACACATATATATACACAGAGCAGCTAGCTTAGCAACGCTGAGCTAATCTTCTCTAAGCACATTAAGCTTTATGAGGGCTGAGCACAAAAGCTGCTTACACACACACACAGACTCACACACACTGTCTTCATGACTTCAGAGGACACTACACTGACTCACATTTCTTTCCTGGAGATGTGCAGGAACCATTGACTCGCCGAACCCTAACCTCATCGTGAACCTTAAAAAATGTCTTTACCTTTAAATATTGTGGTTAAGGATATCGAGACTTGTTTTCTGTCCCCTCGAGGAAGACAAGTCCTCACAATGTGACCAAGTTAACAGATTCAGGTCCCGGCAACATGAGTAATACCTGCCGCACACACACACTCACACGTAGACAAACACAGACCAACACACGCACGGAGCAGCTCATATAAGAGTGACGGGAGTTCGAGCAGTGTTTTTATAGTTGTTGTTGTTTTTTGTTTCAGGTGCTTAAAATGTTATATTGGAGAAGTTAGCTCAGGTAGCATTCGGTGTTTGACCTCACCTATTTGTTTACGTGTGTGTGTCTGCGTGTGTGTAATCGGTCTGGGTCAGTGTATTTCAGTGTCAGCCTCTGACAGTGAACTGATGTGATTATCCGGTTCCGCTCTGTCTGTCATGGGAAGGATGATGCCACAGTTTGAAGGATGAACACAGTCTCTCTTGATCTCACATTTAAAACTGAAGCTTCATTTAGCTTTAACGTATTAGACTTTATTTATTTGACACAGTAAAATTAAAGGAACCTTTTGTTTTAAAACAACACAGGAGTTGGTTTGGTGAAAATTCACACTCACTCAATCAAAACATGCCGTGATTGGTTGTTATTATAACTGGATTCATTTTTAGGCTGCTGACCATTTTTCCAGTCACAGAGACTTTTAAGCTAAAATATTATTAAATTAAAGCAAACATCATTTTAATCATAATTATTTGAGCCTGACCGATGTGGAGTTTTTGATGCAGATACCGATACTGATATTAGGGTGTGAATTTTACTCACTACGAAATACTTTTTATATTTTAGAAAAAATAGTGATCATTAGTAAACCTTTATGAACAAGAAATTAAACATAGACTTTATAACACATAACCATGAATAAAATAAATAAATAAAAACAGAATAAATAGAACTTGAATTGAGATAAAAGCAGAATTATAATCTTGTCTGCATTACTAACCCATCATATTCATCCAGTTTGCATTCCTTCATCACTGAGAGAGCATGACCCTTTCTCTCCGTCACTAGAAAGAGAGAGAGAGAGAGAGAGAGAGAGAGAGAGGGGAACAGATGGAGAGACATTGAGACAGTGTTCATGCATATGTGTGGTCAAATGTACACTAGTGTGTGTTCGATGGCTGCCAAGAAAAAGTCGGACAACGGATATCACACCATCTGCTGAGAGGAGGGAAGGAGAAGAGGAGGAGGTAGAGGGGGAGGAGGAGGAGAGGAGGAGGCCAGGATAAGAGAGGTGGTGGTTGGAAACGAGAAGAGAGAAGAAGAAAGGAGGAGATGAGAGGAGATGAGAAGAGGAATCATTCAGTAGAAAGGAAAAGAAAAAAATGAAAGGAAAGACAAAGAAAGGAGCCAGACAGATGAAGAGAAAGGGAAGAAAAGAAAAACAGAGGCAAGAGAGAAAGACAAAGAGGAATGATAAAGGAGAATAGATGAGAAGAAAACCAAAGGAAAAAAAGAATAGAGGAGATAACTAGAGTAGAAGAAGTGAAGCAAGAAAAGGAAAGGGAAAGGAAATGAGCCAACAAGAAAGGAAAGGAAGGAAAAGGAAACAAAAGGAGAAGGAGATGGAGATAAGGGAGGAAACAAGGAGATAATACACAGAAAGGAAAGGAGGAGCTGAAGAGGAGGAAATGAGAGAGGAGAAAACTAAAGGGGGAAGAAAAGTAAAGGAGGGGATGAGATAGGATGGGTAAGGAAAGGAAAGAAAACAGCGGGAGAAGAAGAAAGGAGGAGAGGAGCAGGGTCTTCTCCCTCTGTTACAACAGATGGGCTTAGCCTCACCCCCTGTATCAGGTTACCTAGCGACCAGGGACTGCCATTAACTCTGACCTTTGGACCTCATGCACACACACACACACACGCACACACGCACACACAAACACACACACACACACACAAACACACACACACACACTGATTTCCCATCTTCTGTGATGTCGATAAAGACGGTATCTAACCGTTCACTGCGAAAATGAACACAATATTTTTGGCTCGACACGTCTGAGCTGCATCATTGTGTAAACTAACCACCAACACCATCTCTCTGTGGTGAAACTGATCAGGACACAAATGAACAGGCGGATGGACTGACCCGTGATGTCGGTGCGGACGTCGGCCATCTTGAAGAGCGGAGCCACGTGTTCTCTGTAGATGTGCACTGACTCCTTCTTGTGGCTGCTGGGGTTGATGAAGACCTTCAGATACCTGGGACGACTGAAAGCTGCACACACACACACACGGAGATCCAGGAATTTAGTTTCACTTTCTCTGCAGCGTTTCCCTTCTCTTCTATACAAAAGATTCCAAGTGGCACAGAGTAAAACGTGAAACATGAGAGAGAGAACTGGATGGTGTGCAACACGTGGGAACACACACACACACACACACAGCTGACACTATGAGGCCTGACTGTCTGCGTGGATGGTAAACGCTGCAAACTGCTTTATAATGCAGCTAATCACTGAGTTACAGGTCTCTTGTGATATCTGTGGTTCATTAGGAAACTGTGGCAGGACAAATTAGAATATGGCCGACCCCACAGTCTAGATAATTGATGGGAATCACTACAATGACACGGTGAGATTGGGTTCAGCTTTGGTGGAGTTATGTCATCTCTTAGGGCTCAACAAGTTTTAAATCCTCAGCTGTGTGTGCCATCATTTCTTTAGTTCCAGCTTCTCAAATCCTCTGAATAAATGATTGTAAATGAATTATATTCTCGTTTTGATTTGTTGTTTGGTCCATTTAAAGTCTGTGTGAGTGTGATAAGCACCTTCCAGGATTCCAGTTAAAGCTGTGAATGTCTTTAATGAAGCAAACTAAATAACTGATGATGGAAAAAACATATTGCTGCACTAAAGCTGACATCCTGCCTGGAATAAAAACATTTTCAGAGTCTGCATCTGTCACATGAATGTAAACCCCTGGATGTGTGAATGGTAGATTGCACTGTGAAGATGTTGTAACATCTGGATGAGGCCTGTTTGGAGTTGCAATGCTGGAAGACGCTGTGTGTGTGTGTGTGTGTGTGTGTGTGTGTGTGGTTACATGGTATTGACTCCTAACTACAGTCACACACACACACACACACTCTAACCCCCTGTACAGCTCATCATTAGGCAGATTTAGAGACCGCATTATAAATCCCCATAGACCAGCACAGATCAATATACACACACACGCACACACAAGCTCCATTATCCAGCTCATTACAATAATCTGCTCCCAAAAGGCCATGACCTCGCCCTGTTAATGACCCCACACACACACACACACACACACACACACACTGCACCCCCTGCCATAACCTCACCCCACGGATCTGACTGGGCTCTCAGGAGTTCCAGTGAGCTGCCCTCACCCCCACCACTCTTCTCTCTACTGGACCCCCACCACTACTCGAAGCTCCACCCCTCTGGTGTATCCCTGGAAGTGTGACCCGAGGATGATTTCCAGTAAGAACCCAAAGTGCTGCAGCATTTACCCCATTAAAACCTTTGTGATCAAAGACCTAGGATGACCTTGGGGCTTGTGATGGCACCTATGACCTTGTCGAGAGGTTCCCGGGGCAGCACCGGGAACCAGGAGGCCACTGATGTAACGGACCATTCACTACACACCTGATAGACACTGAATCAAAGCTCCTAAAAAATAAGATGTAACCTGGTCCACTTTGTCAATCACTGTTTCATGACTGAATGAAAAACGTCTCAATCCTGAAAACACCCCCACCCTCCCCTCTCTCTCTCTCTTGTCTCTCTACATGATTGATGCTCTCTCGCTCACACTCACAGTCTCATAGGACATGATGTCATTCAGCTCGTTGATATTTCTCTCAGAAGAGAAAGCAGAGCGACACAGAGATGCAGAGGGATCAAGTGTCCATCAGATCATCTCTCGGCCCCGGCCAGCGGCCCGTTGCTATGGCGCAGCTTAAGCATCACCATAGTAAACAATCCCGGTGTTGTCAAAGCGCCGAAGACAGAGCCGATGAATGTCATTGAAAAACGATGACTTCTGTTCAGACTCAATAAAGAGGTTTTATTTGATCTGGTTTCAGCTTCTCTTGTAAGAACATTGAGTGTTTGACTTCCTGTGGGATGAACGTGTGCTGCACAACGAATAAAACACTAATGAGAACGTTCAAGCTGAATATTAAAGAAAGAGACAGGAAGGCATGTGACTATGGAAACAGTCAGTGATTTTACAGACACCAGTTAATATGTAACACACACACACACACACACTGGGTTAGACGAACGGGCACCTTGAAAACATGTGCGTAGTTAAAAGGAAGTGAAGTAATCAGACTTCTCATTTCTTTTCTGCTTGACGCTTGCAGCTCGAGGACACGACTCGCACAACTACAAGTCAACAACTAATACTTCGACTGGTGTAGGCACCTG